ACAAGATAGCAGAACAGAAGCTCCACCATAAATCTGCAGAAACTGTTCAGACCAGTTGAGTGATTCAGTCAGCCTGAAGCCGTTAAGGGAACTTTCGGATGATCAATCAATTACTTAAAGATTAACTAGGAAAATGTGAATTCTAAAATTTACATGGACAACATTAGTTTAAGAGTTAACAAAGCAGAAGAATTCTCTGTCAGGATCATTTGTTTGGGGAAAAAACTTGTTTTCATGTGATTACAACTGTTACCCAGAGAAGTGGATGTTACACTGGCCAGAAGAGAAAAGTTTAAAAGTGGAATTTATATCATTTCTTGACAGTTGTCAACTGACATCAACATATTAGTAGTTTTATCCATCCATCCTTCCATCCATTGTTAACCGCTTATCCTGCGTACAGGGTCGTGGGGGGCTGGAGCCAATCCCAGCTGACATCGGGCGAAAGGTGCGATTCCACACAGAAAAGCCAGGGCAACCAGGGTTCGAACCCAAAACCTTCTTTCTGTGAGGCGACAAAGCTAAGCACTGTACTACCGCGACGCCCTAGTAGTTTTATATTATTTTAAATTACATTATGACACTGAACCTCAAGATGTTTGAATACTTCCAGTGTTCTCTCAAACTGTGGTCAGTTTGTTTATGAGTCTGCTGTCCTTTACAGTGATTCAAATCCCATCTCACTCTGTAGTTATGAGAAAAATGAACATCTCGTCAAAACCTCAAAAAAAAAATGTTTTTCCTAAAACATAAAAAAATGGAAGATTATGTTTTGGGTCATGTTTTTTAAATCCGCTGAAATTAAACCGTCCTTACATTTCATCAGATCAGTCTGATGAAATGTAAGGATGTCATTTAAGAAACTGATCACTCTATATGAATATATATATGAATATATATGAAAACTGAACTGGTTTCAATATCTCTAATCTGTGTTTGTTCAGGAACAGCATTCACAGACACAAAGTGCTCTGACTGCAGCGTTGGAACATTTTCAGATGGGACATTTACGTCCTGTCAGCCGCACACACAGTAAGAGAAGCTTCACATCAGACATCTGAAGTCTTCCAGCAGCAGTGAATTCATGGTTTCCTACAAATGTTCCTGTGAAAATGTCCCTCTATCATTCCAGATGTGAATCAATAAACCTGAAAGCAGGAACTGCTTCAACCGATGCTGAATGTGGAGAACAAAGTTCAGACAGGACAGGAGTTGTGATCGGTGCTGCTGTTGGGGGGATTCTTTGTTTATTAATTTTAATATTTGGGCTTGTTGCTTTTTTCTATGTCAAAAAGAAGAAAGGACGTCTAAACAGAGGTATGATTTGTATTTAGATAATAAAAACACTGTCACATCATTAAGTTGTTGATTAAGGTGTTTATTTGTAATGTTTTATTACAGAAGACATTCCACAACTGGAACATTTTATTACAAGAAGAAATCAGATGCAAACAATCCCCAACAGGTATGTTCTATACTCTTTACTATAGACGGGTTTCTGTGCAACGTCATCACAGAGATGTGTGCGCAACTATGGGGCAGAAAAGCATATCTAGCAGCAGTGTTGGACAAATTACTCAGAAATTGTAATGAGTTACTTTATACTCATTTAAAAACCAATGTACGTGCCGAGGTAGTTTGGCATTTCAGACTTTTGTGGGCTTGTCCCAGCTCTCCCCTAGTACTTTACATATTACTGGGTATTAATGGTAAATAGTCACATTACTCGTTACATTACAATTACTTTCAACCATCGCACCCCATCTTTAAAAGTGACGGGAAGCCTGTTCAGCAGTGCATTTTAGAAATAAATCCACTTTACTGGAACAATAGTTAACCTAAAGTCAACAACCAGCCGAACTGAAAACACTGCAGCCTCTCAGACCAGAGGATGCTCTATCATATAAGCTATGGATATAGGCTATTTAAAAATAATTTTAAAAAAACAAAGCAGGTCCCTCCAGATTTTAACTAATCGCGTGTTCATAACAGCAGCCATGAGTATGATTTTTTTTTTTAATGCCACTGTCAGAGATCAGAAAAATCAAGCAAGTGTCTCAAATTTTGAACTAACATTTTGCAAATGCATTTATAAGAGAAGCATTCAGTGCTTTTACAAAACACAAAACGTTGATTAACGCCACTCTCTCCTGCTGAGTGGATACTTCACTGGCAGAAACGTTAGCTGCCGGAGTTTATTTCCACAGGCTCAAGTTTCACGTTGCTGTGCTGCTTTAGCAGATGCTTCAATACAAAATTGTTCACAGTTGAAAGCGTTTTGCTGGTCGCACAGAGTTTACAACAGAAGACCATGTTCTTTGCATCTCTGAGTGTGACACAGCTCGGCCTAATGGCAGAACGTTACTTACAGCTGTGGAAAGAACGCCTCTCTCCTTCTTTCTCCATTCTTCCTTTAGTTTTTTGGCTAGCAGCTGACTTGAACAACATAAGTTCTGGTTCCGCTGACCTGCAGAGCGGTTGCACATGATATATTAACATGCGAAATGAAACGCTAACAAACAGAGTTTATTATTGAGTCAACAAGAATTTACAAACAATGCCTAATCTACGTTGATTACAGTTGTTTACTACAGTCTTCTGACCGGCTACCAAAGCGCTTTGACCCCCTGGCTGCATGCGCATCCAGCAGTGTTTGTATAAAAGAAACCAGTCTGAGTCCATTTTACTGTTATGTACAGTAGGAAGTAGGAATGATTTTTCTTCTAAGTAATTAAATAACATCACTCATTTATCAAATTTTCACAGAACAGAAACGTGAATGGAGAAGAAATACCAGGTGAATGTCCTGCACACGGCGCTACAAGCTGAACACTCTACAGAAGTGCTGGTCTACAGTCTGGATCATTATCTCAAACATATGTTACTGTACAGAGACTGAAGTCAGCCTGGAATAACAACGTGGAGCAAGCTGCAGACTTCCAGTCAATCATCTTCATGTGACTGTACATGTAGGCTTCTTTCTTCTTCTGTGGTGGTCACAGAGCTTACGGCTGGATCTGAACACAGACAGACTGAAACTGGACTTCATCTGTCATAAACCAGAACAAAGAGCTGGAACAGAAGAAAGATTCAATCTGAACTGCAACATGATGGACAAATGGTGACTGATAAAAGCAGGGAAGCTGGATAGTGTGCAGGTACAGCTCCAGGTGGGTACAGGTGAAGCACCAAAGCAGCGTGTGGTAGGAGGAGAGGTAGTCCACATGCCAAAATTTTTGGGGAACATGAATTCCTGGAAGCCTGTGTTTTAACAAGGCGTTAAATGGAAATCCAGTCGGATGTTGTTATGGAGCCAGTGTGGATTTGTGCATTTTATATCAAATAAATTTGGAGATCCCAAAGTCTTTCTCTCTCCCTGAGAGAAAGAAAAGGAGGGGGTTTGAGATATCAACCCTCAACAGACAGCTGAAGCAACCAAAGGAGGAGGTGAAAGGTTTGCTTTCCCTAAGGGCTGTTTCTGGGCAGTTCGATCATAAAACTGGTCACCTTTTGGCAGCAGCCGAGACAAGGCTCTGTGCCTGACTGTTAAAATGACAAAGAAACACTAATCAGACATTTTCTTTCTCCTGAACAGCCTATCAGAACTCTTTTTAAGAGAGGGCAAGAAACCCTAAACTGCCCCCCGCACACGTAACCATGGCAACTGACCTCCCTCTTTGTTTAATTACCCCACATCAAAGGATATTCTCCTCTTCACGCCCTGATGTGAGAAACTCTAGAACACCAGAGGACAGCCCTGAACTCTTTGTGTAAACAAAGAGTACTGTCTCCTCAAAACTCAAAGCATTACCTTGTTTAATTAAATAATCTTTAAATTACTTAACTTGGTCTCTCCAATCCATTTGAGCTCAGTGCATCATAGGAAATCCCCCAGCAGTCTAGGCCTATAGCAGCATAACTAAGGGATGGTTCAGGACTAACCTGAGCCAGCCTTAACTATAAGCTTTATCAAAGAGGAAAGTCTTAAGCCTACTCTTAAATGTGGAGATGGTGTCTGCCTCCTTAACCCAAACTGGAAAATGGTTCCACAGGAGAGGAGCTTGATAGCTGAACGCTCTGGCTCCTAGTCTACTTTTGGAGACTCTAGGAACCACAAGTAACCCTGCATTCTGGGAGTGCAGTGCTCTGGTGGGGTAGTAAGGTACTATGAGCTCTTTAAGATAAGATGGTGCCTGACCATTAAGAGCTTTGTAAGTAAGAAGAATGATTTTAAATTCTATTCTGGATTTTACTGGAAGCCAATGCAAAGAAGCTAAGACTTTTTCGAGCAGCCTGATAATAAGGAATGGCAGTAATCCAGCCTAGAAGTAACAAATGCATGGACTAGTTTTTCTGCATCATTTTTAGACAGGATGTTCCTGATTTTCGCAATATTATGTAGGTGAAAAAAGGCAGTGAAATTTGCTTAATGTGAGACTTAAATGGCATGTCCTGATCAAAGATAACTCCAAGATTCCTCACAGTGGTGCTGGAGGCCAGGGCGATGCCATCAAGGGAAACTATATCTTTAGATAATGCGTCATGGAGGTGCTTAGGCCCCAGAACAATAACTTCAGTTTAACATTAGAAAATTACAGGTCATCCAGGTTTTAACATCCTGAAGGCACATTTGAAGTTTAGCTAACTAATGAGTTTCATCTGGTTTGATCGATAGATATAACTGAGTATCATCTGCATAACAATGAAAGCTTATGGAATATTTCCTGATAATATTGCCTAAAGGAAGCATATATAAAGTAAACAGGATTGGTCCGAGGACAGATCCTTGTGGAACTCCATGACTAACTTTGGCGTGCATGGAGGACTCATCGTTAACATGTACAAACTGAAATCAATCTGATAAATAAGACTTAAACCAGCTTAGAGCGGTTCCTTTAATGCCAATGAAATGTTCCAGTCTCTGCAATAGGATCTGATGGTCAATGGTATCAAATGTAGTACTAAGATCTAATAAAACCAGTACAGAGACAAGTCCTTTGTCTGATGCAATAAGGAGGTCGTTAGTTTTTTTCACCAGTGCTGTCTCTGTGCTATGATGAACTCTAAATCCTGACTGAAAATCCTCAAATAAACTATTGCTCTGTAGAAAGTCACAGCTGTTTAGCAACTGCTGAGAAATGGAAGGTTAGATACAGGTCTACAGTTGGCTAAAACATCCGGATCAAGTTTGGGCTTTTTCAGAAGAGGTTTAATTACAGCTACTTTAAAGTACTGCGGTACATAGCCTGTTGATAAAGATAGATTAATCATATCTAGTATAGTGATGACTAAGGGTAAAACTTCGATAAGCAGACTAGTCGGGATGGGGTCTAAGAGGCAGGTTGATGGTTTAGATGAAGAAATATTTGAAGTTAGTTGGTAAAGATTGAGGGAAGCAAAGCAGTCTAAACATATATCTGGTTTTACAGCTGCTTCTAAGGTTCCTGAGTTTAGAGATAAGTTGGTGCCAGTTGAGGGCAGGTCTTGGTGAATTTTGTTTCTAACAGTTATAATTTTATCATTAAAAAAGCTCGAAGTCGTAACTACTGAGGGCTATGGGAATACCTGGCTCAATAGAGCTGTGACTCTCTGTCAGCCTGGCTACAGAGTGAGTACACTCTATTAATGACGAGTAGTACGCTGCTCTGGTATTACGGAGGGCCCCCTATAAGTTTTAAGACTATCTTGCCAAATTAAACGAGAATTTTCCAGTTTGGTGGAACGCCAATTCCTCTCAAGTTTCCGCGATATTTGCTTTAATTTGCGAGTTTCAGTATTATACCATGGAGCTAACAGTCTTTGTTTTATTATTTTCTTTTTAGAGGGGCTACAGAGTCGAGTGTCATTAGCAGCGAGCCTGCAGCACTATCAACAAGATGATCGATTTGGGAGGGACTGAAATTAGCATAGGAGTCCTCCGTTACTTCGTGACTTGATAATGAATTTAGAGCTGAGGGAATCGCATCCTTAAATTTAGCTACAGCACTATCAGACAGACATCTTGTATAGAAAGTTTTGCCCAATGGCGAGTAGTTCAGCAATACAAACTCAAAAGTTATCAAACAGTGGTCAGACAAAGAGGGATTCTGTGGGAACACCACTAAATGTTCGATTTCAATACCATACACCAAAACAAGGTCGAGGGTGTGGTTAAAACAGTGAGTCGGTTCATGAACACTCTGAGAAAAGCCAATGGAATCTAACAGAGAGATAAACGCAGTACTGAAGCTGTCATTCTCAACGTCCACGTGAATATTAAAATCCCCTACAATAATAACTGTCCGTTTTAAGGACTAAAGTTGCCAAAAACTCTGTAAATTCAGATAAGAATTCAGAGTACGGGCCAGGTGCTCAGTACACTATAACGAAGAGAATTGGTTGCAGTGATTTCCAACTTGGGTGCGAAAGACCAAGAACAAGGCTTTCAAATGAGTTATAATTTAGTTTAGGTTTAGAGCTTATTAGTAGGCTAGAGATAGCTGCAACTCCACCTCCTCGGCCTGTGCCTCGAGGAATGTGAGTATTAATATGACTGGGAGGGGTGGATTCATTTAGGCTAACATATTCTCCATCACCCAGCCAGGTTTCAGTAAGACAAAAGACCTTAAATTTCACCGTAATCACAGGAACTGTGTGTGTATATTGCTTAACTCCAAGTCCCTGTCACGAGAATTTACCCCTTCGATATGAGACTGACTGTTTGATTTAAGATAACTGAGCAATAATTAACTTATTATTATTAACTGATCACTAGTGAATAATTGTATAATTATTAACCATACCCAGGGTATCCCGAGACCCAGGGCGAACGGAATCATGGGTGGTGCCCCGCGAAACGAGAGATTTATGAATTAATATTCTCTGAATATAAAATTTCATCATTTGTATTAATTAAAATTAAGAAATTAAGTTTATTAAAATCATAAGTAGACATGCTACACGGATCACTAAGTAAGTTTATATTTGATGATGAATGCTGTGCATATGTCCTGAAGTTACTGCTAGTTACTGTGTTTAAATCCATGTTCAAACTTTGTCACTACATTATCTGTAATGTACAATAAAATTTTTGTAAAGATCTACAAGTCCTCAAGTAAAACACAGATTTTACACACATTACTGAATGTGACGGTATTAGGTGCACAACAATTTCTGCTAGACAAAGTGTCACAAAGTATAAATATTCAAATAAAATTTTTAATCTTGGGTTTACAAAATGCACCAAACTGAAACAGACCTGAAGACCCTGACAGCGGATGTTTAATAACTGCTGAACATGATAAACTTGTGAGTGTATGTGGTCATACATTCTGTATGAACAGTTTGCTCTTCTCTCGCTATTTTAAAAAATCGTTTATCAATCATCATAAGATGTTAAATAAACACCTCAGTAACCGTGGCGTAAGAGCATGTCAGGAAATTCTCTCCACACTGCGGTCTGAAGTAGAAGAGTCTGTAGGTGTGGGTAACAAATCCGTACTGCCTGTCAGATCCCTATCCCTTACTTGTCAAATAGGAAGTTTTGCGTGTCTCATGTCTCTTCGTTCTGTCCAGTTAAATATGGTGTGCCTCAGGGGTCCGTCTTAGGACCCATTTTGTTTTCCTTGTATCTGCTTCCCCTTGGACATATTATCCATAAACATGGCATTTCTTTTCATATTTATGCTGATGACACACAAATATACTTGCCCGTCAGATCCACAGACCCTGGAATGCTGAGTTCACTTAACAACTGCCTTTGTGAAGTTAAAAAATGCATGTCAAATAATTTCCTCAAGCTGTACTCCGACAAAACAGAAATCCTGGTCATTGGGCCCCAGCAGATTCATCTGCTGGTTCCCTAGTAAATCACATTAAGCCTGTTGCAAAGAACCTTGGTGTTTGGTTTGATAGTAATTTAAATTTCAAGCAGCACACCACAAAGCTTGTTCAAACATGTTTTTATCAACTTAGAAATATAGCTAAAATTTGATCTATGTGAACTTTTAAGGACACCGAGACCATTTTACACGCCTTCATCTCATCATGCCTGATTTATTGCAACAGCCTTTTCACTTGTTTAACCCAAAAATCTATTGATCGACTCCAGACTGTCCAGAACTCAGCTGCCAGGCTTTTCCCGAGGAAATTAGGTCATCTGAGTCAGTGAACTCTTTTAAGTCCCTTCTTAAAAGAGATAGGAGAGCCTTTCCCGATCTTATTTGACTTTATTTTATCCCTTTTATTTTATTCTATTTTACTAATGTTATTTTTATCTTAAACGTGTATTTTAGTCTTTTCAATGTTTTCATGCTTTTATCTTGTATTGTTTTTGTATTATTGTCTCTTGGGTATTATTGTAAATGTAATGTAAATGCTCCGTACTTGTATAGCGCCTTTCTAGTCTTTTCGACCACTCAAAGCGCTTTTACACTACATCTGCATTCACCAGTCATACACATTCATACACTGAGCCTAAGTGCTCAAACGGAAACTAACATTCACACTCACACACTGGCGGAATAGCCGCCAATTCGGGGTTCAGTATCTTGCCCAGGGACACTTCGACATGCAACCAGGGGGAGCCAGGGATTGAACCGCCAACCTTCCGATTTAACAGCCAACCCGCTCTAACTCCTGAGCCACAGCCGCCCGCCGGGTATTATTGTCTTTACACTTGTTAAAGCACTTTGTAACTTTTTTTGTGTGCTACAAATAAAGATTATTATTATTATTATTATTATTATTATTATTATTATTATTATTATTATCTGCACATGCTCAAAAGTGCTCTTGTCTGTCAAGATCTATATAGTCTATGGTCAAGAGTCTTTTTGGGGGGATTTCCATTGCTAAACTAACGGCTATCGCTACCAGAGAGGCAGCATAATAAACTCCTGTCTGTAGGCCGACTCGACACCTTCCCGGATGAGGCAGATGACCGTTGTGTCGTCAGTAAACAAGAGTTTGACAGATGGGTCTCCTGAGGTGCAGTCGTTGGTGTAGAGGGAGAAGAGCAGTGGGGAGAGCAGACACCCCTGGGGGGCGCCAGTGCTAGTAGCCCGGGTGCTTGATGTGATGTTCCTCAGCCTCACCTGCTGACTCCTCTCAGTCAGGAAGTCTGTGATCCTCTGACAGGTGGAGGCTGGCACAGTGAGCTGGGTGAGTTTGGTGCTGAGGATGTTCGGGATGATGGTGTTGAACGCCAAGCTGAAGTCCACAAACAGGATCCGTGCATATGTCCCTGGAGAATCGAGTTCTTGCAGGATGTGATGCAGACCCAAGTTGACAGCATCATCCACTGACCTGTTAGCCCTGTAGGCAAACTGAAGGGGGTCCAGCAGGGGGCCTGTAATGTCCTTCAGGTGGGCCAACACCAGTCTTTCAAAGGACTTCATGATGGTGTTGGAGTGGGGGAGAGATGTGACTGTGGGCTTTTCAAACCTACAATAAAAGCCATTCAGGAGTCGCTATGAGGTCCAGCTGACCCATCAGGGCAACTGATTTTGCATAATATATAACTAAATTAAATAACCACTATGCTTTTTATGGTGCCTAATATTGTACGGAAAGCTGGCTTTTCAAGATGGCACTGCAGAAGGCGCCTCTGGATTATGCTCTGTATTACTTTTTGTGTTTTTGTTTATTAACGCTGTTTTCAGCCTCGAGGTAACTTGAGAAGAGTAAAGGTGAGGATACGGAGATGCTGTCATTAAATGCTGGGAAAGCCAGAAACTGCTTAATCCCCATGAAAAGTGCTAAATGACCCCAAACACACATAATGAATATGTAAAGATATGCAAATCTGTGGTTTAAAACTTCATGCAGAGCTTAATCTCCAGTTGTGTTACTCAGAAATGAGCTTTTAGAAATCTGTCATATTGCAATAAAGGCTTACAAGAGACCTGAAGTTTCCGTCTGCGTCTCATCTTTGAGTATTGTTTGACGAGTTTCTAAGTGTATGGACTAAAGAAATGTCCCATGGCATGGTCTTCAGAGAGGCCCTGGACAGCCTGAGCTTCGCAGCCCACTCCAGCATTCAGGAGGCCCCCAAACACACATCCTGTTGACAGCAGGAGCTCATGTACAAGCTTCATCTGAGTGTGTTGATCGTATAGAGTGATAACAAGTCTGCAGCATTAAAGCTCTGATTACAAGATGATTAATGCAGCTGACAGATTCAAATAATGTTAGGTTTGAGCACGATGCATGTTAAATCTTACTCCCAAGTGTTGCATTAAACGTCATGTTGACATGTCAGGAGTTGTGTAATGCTTCAGATATGACCAGGAATATTACAGCTTCCAAACAAAGTGCACGTTTATTCTTTTATTTGAAACAGACAGGCTGGTGAACATTGTGGAGCATTTAGCAGCAGAATAATATATAATATAATAAATAAATCATGATAAAAAAAAAAGTCCCCTCCTGGAGTCTGGGAGGGTCAGCTGGATCACCTGACCCGCCTGCTGTCGCCGTGCTGGTGAACGGGGTATCAGGCTCGAAGACGGTGGGGTCCTTCACATCGTCTTCGAAACCCTCGTCCACGTCCTCCTCGAGTGACTCGACGGCAGCGGCCTCGTCCGGAGTGTCAGGGTCCAAGCTTATGGCGATATTATGGCGAGTTGATAGTGCCAGGGATAACCTACCAAAGGAGACCACTGTGTGACAGCTATGTGTGGATAGGCTACTCCATCGCCAGTGCACAACATCCTTTGATAAGCTCGTCGCTGTCAGGCTTGAATTTTTTCACTCAAACTTCTTCTTATTTTTTTATTGGCAGTTGCCAAAATGGCCGAGAGGTGCATTACCGCTACCAACTGGACTGGAGTGTGGAACCAGAGATTATTTTCAATACAAGGGGTACAGGCCTAAACGGTCCAGCCTTTAAGTGTTGCTGTAAAAATACTTGAAAGTACAAAAATAAATTTTACACATACACAAACTTAATTATGTAAGTTATGTCAGCTGAGACGTTTGTACTTAAAAAAACAAAACAACAGTACTACAGCTTTGTTAGTATGATGTCTTAAATCAAACCAAAAAGAAGCGTGAGAAATATCTAGAAATATGTTCAATATATTCCCCTCCCAATCACAAAACATTTACGGTTGTAAAATAAAATCCATCTTTAAATGAGTTTGACCAGTGTGCAATGAACACCTTGCGGCAAAACACTTTTATCTAGTTTTAAACTGTCTCCTATAAAGTAAAATAATCAAATTTCTACAAAAGGATCATCAGGCTACAAAAGGAGGGAACACTGGCCTTCTACAAGGGCGTCACACTTTGTGTTGAAAGGTGTTGGGATCATCAGATCAGGGGCGTGATGAAACACATGGGTCACCACATATACGACAATACACGAGAACAAAACAAGAACATTTTTAACACTATTTTAAAGAAACAAGAAATGCTGAAAGATATGAGCAGGGGGGTCTGAGGGTCCAACCCAAGAAAATTTTGAGCATTAAACACTTAATTTCCTGCATTCTGGAGACATTTTCTGCTCCGATTTATGTTGGAAATGTCTTTATTTATATTAAGAGAAACAAGAAATTCAGCTAGCAGGTGACAATTCATGAATATAAAAGTATAACAGAATATAATTAACTGATCAGCAGCTTGTTTTTTTAGCTTACTTTTTTGGACATTGCACATTTGTTTTTCTTTTATATTTAAATTTCATTGCATGTTTTCTTATTGTGCAAATAAACCTTTATCTAGCATTTTCATTTGTTAGTTAACATTTCTTGGTGGAAGCTATTTTTCGGACCATTTTTAACAAATGCTCTCAAAAAGTGATGGGGATACAATCATCCATTTCAAAATGTTCCCAGTAAATGACACCTATGGCCTTCTCATTGTTACAGAGGAAGTTGGAAGCAAGCAAGAGTTGCTGGCAAAAGAGATTGTGGATGTCGCTGTTTCCCTTGAGGAACACATTATGTACAACCTCAAAAATGTTGCTAATACCTTTGCAATAGCATAGACTATCCAAAATAAGTATATATTTGCTTATACAAAAACTTTTCATCAGTAGCAGCAATTCTTCAGCCAAAGTTCATGGACTCAGAAACTAGATGCTTCAAGGAAAGTGTAGAGACAACTTGGCCAAGTTAATGACAGCTATCACTGTTTCCATTGGACTGCTTTGAACTTGTTTATACACTAAAACTACATCACATTCAATCTCACAAACCAAACAATCTTTAATAGCCTTTCCTTCCAGAAACTTTGTAAGCATTGGACCTGGTGTTTTATTAGGCTGCAAAAACTCAATTAATTGTGGGGTTTACCTATTTAAATATTACAATGAGTGTGTTTTTGAATGTATTTGTTAATAGACTATAGCTATAACTTCAAAAATATAACTAGTAATATTTGGAATTTAATTATTTAATTGACCAGCCTATAGGCCATGGAATGATGCTATATTGTTGCATTATAGATATCAGAGACAACTTGAAGTTCAAGCCTCCCATCCTTCATTTGTTAATTGGGATAATATCTATTTTCCCCATATTTGGTGCTGCCATAAATGTTTTGTTTTCAAATGTTAATCATTTTAAAAAGACAGTGAGACAGTTTAACTGGCAGAGGGGTGGCGCTGCAAATTAAAACATGAGAACCAATCAAAAGCATCAGAAAAGCATCAAACTTTACTAAACTGAATAAGCATGAAACACAGCTCTAATGCTTGAATGATTTATTTTATAAATAACTGTAGGCCTAATACAACCATCGTCACATTGTGGGGAAGTGAAAGCACTATATCTTCTTCAGTGGAACTTTATAGGACAAAATAACAGTGAATCCAAACAATAAGCATAACAGGGTATGCACAGTAGGCTACTCCAGAGTTCCCAGTCGCCACAAGAATAAAAGCATTTAACACAGGCTGTACAAAAAATGACTTGAATTCACTCAATAAAGTTAAAATAATTACACTGACAATGGTGTACTGGTAGCGACGTACTTAGTAACGACGTGTGTATCACACGGTTGTTAGGCGACGTACTTAGTAACGATGTGTGTATCACACGGTTGTTAGGCGACGTACTTAGTAACGATGTGTGTATCATATGGCGGGTGGAAGTGACGACGTGTGTATCACACGGTTGTTAGGCGACGTACTTAGTAACGATGTGTGTATCATATGGCGGGTGGAAGTGACGACGTGTGTATCACACGGTTGTAAGGCGACGTACCTAGTGACGACGTGTGTATCACACGGTTGTAAGGCGACGTACTTAGTGACGACGTGTGTATCACACGGTTGTAAGGCGACGTACTTAGTGACGACGTGTGTATCACACGGTTGTAAGGCGACGTACCTAGTTCAGATGTATTTAGTAGGCGTATATTTATACAGGAATTCTAACATACGCCGCCGTGACGTCGCCGCCGGAAGACGTTGATTCCATGCACTCGCCGCCAAGTCGCCGCCGGTCTCCCGTCTGCAGTCCCAATCACTCCCATTCAAAAATCCACACGGTCTGGCGGCGACGGCAGGGTAGACTGCTCCTTCTCCGTCTCCTGGTAATCCTCGCTCTGACACTATCCACCCGCCATAGATGGATGAGTCAATGCGCAGAGAGCGTACACGTAGGGTCTGTGCGGACGTCTGCGTGCCTCCCGCACCAACCAATCTACTGCGCATGTGTGGAACGTGTCTGCCAAGCTGACTGCAGAAAGTGGTTTAAGTACTCCGCGTCCGTGGGGTCCGCAGTTGTACATGTTGTAGGCAGTTGTACACGAAAGTGTGCCACAATGAATTAGGCAGTTCTGAAGGAAAAGGGGATCCAACCAGGTACTTGTAAGGTGTACCTAATAAAGTGTAGTGTGTATAGTGACTTTCAGCTCTCTCATCTGTCTGGCTGCAGCTTTCCTTTTCTGGTTAACTCTCAGTGCTCTCATAGTGTTGTAGCAGCTTGTGAACATAGTGGAGCATTTTGCAGCTAAAAAGCTAGATATTTCCATCAGGAGCTGGTGGAGACCAAACACAGAGCTATCAGAGAGAGAAAACTGGATTCAAATTCATCAGTTGACACAAACACAACTCCACATGAACCATCATTTTACTCTTTAGCTGCTGGAAGTGGAAATAATAAAAGTTCAAGTTCGCCATAATAACTTAAAAGGTTATCTGTTAGTGTTGTGTTCTCCCAGTTATTGCAGGTTAAAGTCAAAGTACAGAAGTTTTATCAGTTAAATGTACCTAAAGTCTAAAAAGTGAAAGTTCTGGATCTTATTAGATTGTTAAAACTGATGTATCAATGTGTGAGCAATTTTACTGTTGTCACTGATTATGTTTACCATTCCATTGGATCCCAACCTGGGAGTCGGGCCCCGCCAAAGGGTTACAAGATAAATCTGAGAGGCTGTGACATGATGGAAGAGATAACAAGAAAAACAAAGTTTTGGTACATAAATTTGGTGCATTCACGTTTTTGGGTCATTTAATAATCAGTGGCTTGGTTTTTTTTTTTAGCTTAAATTGCGTTTTTTTAGGCACTGCACATTTGTTTCTTCTATATTTTATTTGCATTGCATGTTTTCTTAATGTGAAAATTTTTTGTTATTTAGATGCAAGCTATATTTCAGAACCTTTTTAAAAACAAATTATGCTTAAAAAAATGGTGGCGACAATATCAGCCATTTCAAAAAGTGGTTGGGACTAGGGATGCAACGATTATAGATTTTGTTGGTACAATTATAGTCAGAGAAATAATCACGGTTTCATGATTATCATGATTATTATGCATTAATTAATTTACCAACACTATTAATTACATAAGTAGATTTTTAATATTTAATTACATTACAACAAATATACGTCTATAATATTTAAGTATTATTATTAATATAAGACGATTATTAACTTTTTTATTCACCAGGAGAACTTAATCAAACAATTAAAAATCATAATGTAACACTGTAATTATTAAGACATTAAAGCGACTTAAAAAAGTCTAACACCACTGCCTTTACTACAAAACTCATAAAAAAATATCACAAACGTACCTCTTTGTCATTTCCACATTCTTTCTTTAGCTTCTCAGCTTCTTTCGCTTTTTCAGACATACTTTTTAAAATGTGATTGGTTAGAAGATTTTTCCGTTCTGTTGGAACCGGTGCTGTGGACACTGGTGCTGTGAACTCATAGACAGTGTAATGCATTCTCTGCAGAAAGAGTGGCCGCAGATAAGGATTACCGGATCAGTGAAGATAGTCAGACAAATAGAGCAAGACAAATCTTCCGCATACAAAGTCGAAGCCATGGCTCCTTTGTTTCTCCACATTCTGTCAGTTATTAAGGAATGTAATAAACTGAACTGTTATTGTCATCAACTCTCATCCAAACATATAAGTTTTAGTAAAAATGATAGAAAGAAATTGAGAACTCTCATGCAGTGTAAGTAATAACTGAAATGCAGGTAACTCCGCATTTGTATAGCGCCTTTCTAGACTTTTCGACCACCCAAATCGCTTTTACACTGCCTCGCATTAACCTTTCACACACTGAGCCTAAGTGCTCAAACAGAAACTAACATTCACACACATTCATCCACTGGAACACCTGCCAGGGGCAATTTGGGGTTCTCTACCTCCTGAGCCACAGCCGCCCCAGTATAATTGGTATAGTCCTGGAAGTCTATAAGGTCCTGATGTTAGTGTTACATTTTCTCAACGTAGACAGGAGAAGGCAACAGGATGTAACGTTAAATGTTCAGTGACTGGAGATCTTGAGAGGACTACATTCTTCCATTTGGCCCTTTCAGAAAAGATGATGGGTTCAGCGCAAAAGTTCAACTACTTTGACAGTGGCGTGCGCTCGAGCTCGCCAAGCGATGCAGTGCATGTTGCTCCACCCAGCAACAAACCACCGTGGTGTGGCACAAGCCAATGAAAATAATGAGTTTCATAACGCAGCGGTGCTGTCGTTGCCGTGGGTCTGAAAGCTTACATGCTGCTTTGTTTGTTTACGTTGGACTGAAAGCTGGACTCTCACCATTACGGCATTGGATGTAAGTGACGTTTATATGTAATTACCTACCAACTTGCCACATTATTTAACTCAGTTGTTCTGTATTACCTTTATTTGGATGTGCAAAGCTGGGTGGTAATTCTGCAGGTGCCGCCACAAGTTTGATGTAATTATTCGCTCCTTTAGCAGCAACCTTTTAACAGCAAGTGTTTGAACAGGTGATCAGTCATCTTCAGTAACGCCCTGGTCAGTCAAAGTCTGGTCCCTCTGCCAGAGTTCAGCCAGTTTGCAGTAACCAACAGTTCCTTTCCCGGTGTAGCGGAGCCTTTATGATTAATTAACCGTCTATTTTAAAGCACGGTTAATAGTTTAATCCGGTAATTGCTGCATCCCTAGGGGGAACATGTCCTCAGCGTCCCCAGTGTAAATGACACCTATGGTTGTTACAGTATACAGAGCTAGACTCTCAGCACAGTGGGGGCGGAGCTTCATAGTGGGGCCCACCTGTTACCAAGTCATTTTAACCAAGTTTACATGACCCCAGACTCACTCCAAAAGTCCACTGAGTCTGTGTGTTTCGCTGCTGCCGGAGCAGCCATTCTACTAAATGTTGTGCTCAATCCAGAAGCGCTGCAGTGCGTCCAAGAAGTGTCCCAGCGTCAAGCAGTACAGAGCAGATGAACCGGGCAGAAAGTCAGACACAAAAACTGTACAATCCTGTAAACTTTCAAAACAAAATACCTGGTACAGACTTCCACTTGTATATCAACAACACAGTTAAAACCCCAAAAAAAGTACTTAGTCTACTTAATCATAGACAAAGTACAAAAAGCAAGTACTAATCACCAAATCAACAAAATTTAAACGTGTCGACAAAATCCGATAGGCAAAATGCTCTTATTCTGATATGCTCCCTGTGGTAAATGCTAGATGCACCCCTCGAGGAATGAAAGCGAGCCACAGAGAGCTTTGAAGAATGTAGTAGAAGCACAAAAAGGACATATTAAAGACAAGTCATTAACGTGGGGCAGGCTACTCTCCGCTGCTGAAACACTTCTGAGAGGCTTCCAGTGGACTTTGACACCGTAAATAAACCCTTGCGCAGCCTTGCGCAGGGAAGGGAGTTTTGTTAAAACGTGCTAATTAAGTTAGCCATTTTTAAAAATACAAATATGACTTTATGATTTATGTTTATTAAAACATATTTCCTTAGAATATAGTGTTTTTTTGTTTTTTATGTGGTAATTGTCTTTCTTGTGGTGGTTTACCATTGAAACCATTAGTCAAGGGACTGTTTCATTTGATAAGAGCTCCTGAATTTTTTGGGCCAAATTGGGCCAGATAAGAAAACTTGAACTTTTACCAACATTTTTATTATCAACAAAAATAGACACCAATAAGAATACAAGTTCCACCGGAGTGTGTCAGAGATCGGTGCAAAAAAGAGACCCATTCTGTTACCAGAACAGAGACCCGAGTTGACATGAAAACCATGTAACAACTGACTTTCAACTACTTTTGGATCTACTTTTATAGCTCTGTTTTTGGCATCACATACTCTCTTGGCTCTCTTTTCTGCTCATCTGGAGCTGCGAAAGTCCGAGATTTTAGAATTCTTCAGCATTTTCAGCATTTGGTAGGGAAGTCCCTGACTGCGCTATTCCTCCTCTCTGTGTCCTTTGCATGCCCTCCGCTGATTTTTTCAAAGTTATACGTGCATAATTTGACACACAATTACATTTCTTAAAAAGTTAATAAAAGAATAACATATGTAATGCTGTATCTTTCATTAATGCTTGGTTTCTTGCAGTAATCTTGATGTAGTGCTGGCTGCTCATCATCTATCCGTCGCGTTTTCATAAAGCGTCTGTCGTCTTTTCTGTTCAGCAAAAATTCCTTCAGCAAGTTCACTCAAAGTTCACACAGGCCATACGAAATTTCACTCAAAGCTCACACAGGCTATAAGCATCAGAGGTTGGAAGTTGACAATCCACCCCTTAATCAGTAATTAAACATGTAGTCTTAATATCAGCAGACTAATACATCAACAGTTCCAGTAGTCATAACAACAGTGGATGACAGCAGAACGAAGCATGCACTGTCACAGTGTCTGCAGATTTTGAACACCTGCAGCCTCTTCTGCGGCCATTATCTTCATCAACATCATCATCTTCTTCAACACTCACCGCCTGTCAGGAGGAGATAAGGGTGGGGATGAAAGACAACTTCCTCCATTGAACAGCTCCACAACTGAGGCAATTCATGTTGGCACCTCACATCAAATCCAGTCATCCTCCATAAACGGTAAATCTATCTCTGGTCATGACATACAAGGTCTCCGTCCTCACCCACCAGATCATCTGAAAATGCCTCCACCCACCTGAAAGAACTACTCGCCCTTCTTACACATGGGATCCCCAGGACTAAGCTCAGCACCATGGGTGATCATTCTGTTCTGCGGATCTGGACGCTTAAAACATTTTTTTAGCATAACTTCCATCCTTACCATGCGTACAGGGAGCTGGAGCTTACATCAGGCGAAAGGTGGGGTGCACCAATTAACTTAGCCTGAATGTCTTTGGACAGTGGGAGGAAGTTGGAGCACCTGGAGAGAACCCACGGAGAGAACATGTGAACTCCACACAGAAAGGCTGGGGTAACTGGGATTTGAACCCACAACTTTCTTGCTGTGAGGCAACAGTGCTAACCTCTGCTCCACCGTACCACCATTGTAGCAGAACAGTTTTTTGTTTTTAACTTTCTTTAAAGATGTGGTATTATGCTTTTTGGCTTTTCCCCTCTCCTTTCTTGAGTTATATATATTTTTTTTGTGTGCATGTAACAGGTTTGCAAAGTGCAAAAAGAACTCAGTCCTGCTCTGAGTTTGCCCATTTGTATCAGATGTGAGAAAATGTCATTAGAAGTTGCTGTTGGTATTCTGTGATGTGACAAAGGGAATATCCAGAAGGTTTTTCTTCTGATGTGTTTGTGAATGAAAGGCTTAATGTCCAAATAAAGCTTGGTGTCCATCAGACTGGTGACTCCTCAGATTCTTAACTGGCAGTAAAGGTAGCTCTGGAGAACACTGAACAATGTGCTCAGACTTTCTCGTCTGTTTAGTTTGGCCACACTCCCCTTTATGAAAAATAAACAAAGAAAAAAACTACTGTGTTTGTGTCTACTGGTTCCTTGAGAAAATAGTGCCATATTTAGTTTAGTATACTTTTAAAGACTTTTTTCTTTCTTTCAGATGGCAGCAGGTTTCTATTTGGCCACCTCTTTATGTTTCAGTAGTGAGCTACAGATAGCTACCTGCTTAATAACACTGAGAAAACTAAATATTAACAGATGTTTCAGTTTGATAGCAAAGCTTGCTGTTTAAATGTAAGGTTGTATATCACCAAATTAGTTAACCTGTGTGGGTATCCAGTTCTCATTGTGATTGGTAGGCTTTTGGCCTAGTAATGCCACAATCTAGTTTCACCCCCTCAGGGAAGCTCCACCCTGCCTCTCCAGTAGCGGGCACACACTTGGAGACAAATGCCTCCTT